AGTTCCCTAAGCTTCCCAAGCTTCCAATTTACAAGTTAATCGGTTTAGTTGTTCTTAGTTTCACTCACAAGGCCTGATTCAAGGTTGAAATGGAAAGCTCTCTTCACTCTTTCTCCCTCTCTTGCTCTCTTCACTCTTTCTCCCTCTCTTGCTCTCGGCCAAACCAAGGAAAATGGTGAAGAAATGGAGCCAAAGTGAAGATAAGAAGCAAAGAAAATTGGCTTGGTCAAAGGTCTCTAAGTAACCAACAAGTGTCACACTTTGGTTAATCCAAAATTGTTTTCTTTTCTCCTCTTTTTGAGTCAATAATTTCAGCTACCATAAGGGATATTTTGGGGTGATTTTTGCTGAAATAAAAGTAAGGAGATTAAGGTAATAAAGTAATGTTCAAGTGGTGTGTTCAATCGGTAGTGAACGGTACACGTCGGTTCAACCCGTTTTTCCTTAAATCACGTATACTAGGGTTTTAACTTATAATTCACTAACTTATTATTACCACTTCTAATCACACACTTAATATCATCTAAAACTCACTTTTAATCACCAAATTTTTATCGCACTAGCAGGTCCCACGTCTATAAAGCGTTTCAAATTTAACGTACACTAACTTATACTAGGAAAATGATCTAAAACTGTACTTGCTTATAAAAATGCATAGAAACTTTAATATTTTAAAGACAAGTATAAAATGTAGGCAAAAATAAAATAAGGTCTAGAAAATGTGAAAATTTTCGAGTTCTCACGCCAAGACCACTTAACCAACCTGGAGTCCAGGATAGAGGGGAAGATAGAGCCTTGGAGAGGTTTCTGAAATTTAACCCGCCTAAGTTTACTGGGGAACCTGATCCCGAGGTAAAGGAGAACTGGTTGGAGAGAATGACCAACATATTTGTCGCCTTAGACTATATCGAAGATAGGCGAGTGAACTTTGCTGCTTTCCAATTTAAGGGAGTAGCACGTGCTTGGTGGGACATGATAAGGGGAAAGTGGGAGAGAGCCCAAACCCCTTGGACTTGGAAAAACTTCACGAGGGAGTTTAATGAGAAGTTTCTTCCACCTTTGATCCAAGAGAAGTGGGAGGACGAATTTATAAAGTTGAGGCAAGGAACTTTAAGTGTAGCCGAGTATGAAGGGAAGTTCACTAAACTTTCTAAGTACGCTCCAGAATTGGTGACTAATGAGCGGAAAATGATAAGGCGCTTCGTGCAAGGGCTTAATGTGGAAATTCAGGAAGGTTTGGCTGCAGCCAAAATTTCTACATTTACTGAAGCTTTGGAGAAAGCGCAGAGAGTTAAGAATGCAAGGTTGCAAGTTAGGGACTTCCACTCTAAGAAAATGAATATCTCAAGTTATACTTCTGGACAGGCTAGTAAAAGTACCCTACCTTAAGATGGGAAGGGAAATGGGAGGAGTAAGGACCGTACGAACTTCAAGGGGAGCTTTATCCAGAGGAGGTCGTCATGGGACGGTTCAAGCAAGAGGAGTACCCTCTAGTAGTCCGGTCGTAACCCCTCAAGTCAGCTGTGGTTACTGTGGCAAGGCAAATCACTCGGAGAATGATTATTGGAGAAAGTCGGGAAAGTGTTTGTTCTGTGATAGTGCTGAGCATCAACTTACGAATTATCCAAGTAAGCTGAAGGCAGGAGGTAGCACTTAAAGGCTAGAAAAGTCAACCTCTAAGCAGACTAGTGCTGGAGGAAGTCGACCAAAGGTACCTGCTAGGGTTTACGCATTGGACTATCAACAGATTCCCGATACTATTGAGGTGGTCGAAGGTATGATCCCTACTTTCCACTGTTTAGCTAAGCTTTTAATTGATTCGGGTGCGACACATTCTTTTGTGAACCCTAACTTTATGAGTGGAATAGATGTGATGCCAATTAAGTTATCTTATGATCTGGAGATTAGAACACCTACTGGGGATCAAAGCTTAATCGCTAACTTGATGTATAAGGATTGTGAGATCTGGGTTCGAGAACAGAAATTACTGGCTGATTTGATGGGCTTAGCGATTAAGGGGTTTGATGTTATATTAGGAATGGACTAGTTAGCTCGCTACAATGTACAGTTGAATTGTAAGACAAAGATGGTAGAGTTGTGCATTCCAGGAGAGGCAACCCTGAAATTGGATGTAAGGGATAGATTAGCCTCATCTGCACTTATTTCAGGGATTCGAGATAGAAAAATGTTAAGTAAAGGAGCTCAGGGGTATTTGACTTTTCTTATAAATACTCCTAGCGATAAAGTGAGATTGGAAGATATGCCTGTAGTAAAGGAGTATCCGGATGTTTTTCTAAAGAGTTAGAGTCTTTACCCCCGAAAAGGGAAATAGCTTTTAAGATTGATGTGACTCTGGGAGTAGCACCTATCTCTAAGACGCTGTATAGGATGGCTCCAGCTAAATTGAAAGAGTTGAAATTGCAATTACAGGATGTGACAGCCCCACCTCACCCTAAGGCGAACCAAAGGGTTCGGCGGATCGCCTGCCCAACTCTCTCCAGGACTACGGAGTCGAATCACACAAACCCAATATAGCACGCGCGATAGGACCCAAAGAAAACGAACAATCAGAGACTACTAAGGTGAGAACATGCTTACCAAACCATAAAATCATAACCTCAACTGAATACACTTAATAGACAAGGTTAAACACTTATACATATTTTTACATCGGAGTCTTTGGCAAATTAACTAAACTAAAATACAAGCCAAAGTATTCATACACTTAAAATACGATTCGGGTTTCGGTTGCAAAAGAGCTTAACAAAATATTAATTACACTAGCTCGACCCTTTTCTTCCAAGATCATGGATTCAAAGTTTGCTCTTGAAAGGAAAACAAAGATAACGGGAAGGGGTGAACTTATGCTCAATGAGGTACCAAAATAATAGCAGTCAAGAGTCATGGAATTTCATGTTCAATTAGTCACATGTGCATATCACATAGAGAAATGAACAGACACCTTGGATAGAAAGGATACAGGTGGCTCTCAGGAGCCAAAATTCTCATTGCCGTACTTGAACCAAACTCGTTGACTCTCCGTAAATTTATAAAGAACAACTATGTCCGTAGACCCCACTTTACACCAAATTTTGTCCACCAAACATACCCCTTACCGGGCCCGAACACCTCAACAGAAACAAAAGTGGTAATACTCGAGTATACCGGAATCAAAAGTCTCAATACCCAAAGATTCTTAGAAACAGACTACCATGGCTCGTTATCTAATCGACCAGGCCCTTGTCGATCCGACTCGAGTAACTAGCCACAGGTGTTGAGCTCAGAGGTCACAGAAAGGTCGTTGAAAACCAGCTCCCAAAAGACATCAGAACAGACTCAGATGCAGATAACAGAGTCAAGTATTGTAAGGATCGAAGACAACCTAAGAGGGGGGTGAATTAGGTTTTCTAAAACCAGCTAAGATATAGGCCACCTTTTTTTTTTCAAGCCTGCCCTTCTTTTCTCGAAGACCACTCAATGGATCAGGTTACAAGAAAGCACAGTTGTTCGTGAGATGAAGAGATGAACAATTTATATAGTAAAGCTGTAAACGAAAGTAAAGAGACAAACCAGGCTTCAAACTCAACTTGAGTTTGAACAATACTTCATATAACAAGCTACTTCAAGTTGAACAAACTTGCAACCAATTTCTGTGTACAATGGAAGGATCACTTCCTTTTTGCCCCACCACACTTGGTCAAGCAAGGAAGTTTTACAAACACTCTGATAACCCTCACAAAGCTACACTATTGAAGAAGTTGTGTCACACTTGAAAAGCTACAAGAAAATTGCACAAGCTGAGAATACAAATAATCCCTTTTTTGAGTATTCAACCACTTGAATCACTCACTATTTGATGTAGACTGGATGTACAAAGTTACTCTGAGGTGGTTGACCTTTTTCCTTTTATAGGAGACCAAGAAATTCTTCAATTAATGCTGTCAACGGATAGAAGGCAACTGAAGAGTCCACTAGCCGTTGGTGCTGTCGGACGTCCGATATTCAGTTTTTATGCGTCCGAACGAGGTCAATGAATTTGAGAAATCTTCTTGAGCCTCTTAGGACGTCCGATCCCTTATTACCATGCGTCCGAGGGTAAGATGCAGATTTGGAGGTTCCTTTTCAATTCCTTCGGACTGCCGATGCGTCCCATGTTTTACGTCCGAAGTGCAGCAACGCTTGTCGGACGTCCGATGCTCAGGTGTTGAGCGTCCGATCGTGATCAGTAATCGTAGAAGCCCTGGCCTGTCTTCTTTGGACGTTCGAGTCTGAGTTCTTCATACGTCCGAAGTTACTCAATGGATGTCGGACGTCCGATACTCTCCTTTTGTGCGTCCGACATCTTCCTCAACACTTTTCACCTTTTTTTTTTGATCTTCTTTTTGTTCTAAGTCTATAGACCTGTTTAGTGTCATTTCTAAAAAGGGTCTCTACAAAAAGTATTAGTAACATCCGTTTGTTTTGTAATCATCAAAAGATATGAGTTGAGATAAACAATCTCCCCCTTTTTGATGATGACAAAACATTTGGATAAAGTAAAAATATACGAACTGGGATTACAACTCCCCCTAACGAAGTGCATGAGTATACGAGAAGAAACGCAACTCCCCCAAACTAATTACTTTACACCATTAGTGCTAATCCAATTCTCCCCATTTTTGTCATCACAAAAGTGGGTATGCCATGTCTGATCGATTTTGATACCAGCAGCATCAGATAACATCAGCACGATCCATCAGTAACATTAGCAACAACACGCAATTTGATAACAAAGATTTTTCAATAAGATAATATCAGCAAAATCCATTCAGCAGAAACATTCATTCATAACAAACACATCCATTCAGCAGATATTATCAGAAACACTTAGTCATAACAACTATAAACAATAGAAAACATCCAATTGTACAAACCAGAAGTACAACAAGGTGCAGTGAAATATTTTGCAATGCAAAAGATGAACTATAGTCCTAAAATAAGGTGCAGTGACCTAGCAGTGCCTAGATAGTGATTTTAGATGATCCAGGCCTCCTCCTGGCCAGACGAAACTGTTCAGGGTCCTCTTCTTCCTCAGTTTCTTCATCGTCGTCTTCATATGCTTCCTCAGTTGCTGGAGCCTTGCCTTTATCCTTGGGCTGAGAGTTGGAAGCTGGTGTGGCCTCAGTACCAGTAGTTTTCCCTGTGGGCTCAGGTCTTGGCTCTTTTTCATGAACATTTTCATTGAATTCGGGTATTGGAGGCACAAGAAGGTTCATTTTTTCAATGAAAGAGGATTGTTGGGCAGGGGTCATGGTCATCATGAGACCATCTTCAATAAGCGAAACATGATGTTTGAGGTCTTCAAGCAAGGAGATGACCTCAGAATTGGAAGAGAAGGACTTGCTGATAGACTTTCTAGGATGAATGGTGAAAGGAGAGACATAGTCTGACTGACCACGAGAAGTTCTAGGAGTGACAGGGATTTCATGAAAGTTTTTTCTTATAGACTCAGCCACAGTCTCCTTATAGCACCAATGGCCATCAAAGAATTTTAAGTTCTTTCTTTCAAAATAAGCTTTTGAAAAGACTGTTGAAGCACTGTCTTTGGGTGATTTTTCAGAAAAAGGTATTTCAAAATGGGCAAAGATAGGAGTCAGAAATTTACCATAAGAGAGCTTTCTACGACTATCAGTGCTAATTTTGAGCAGAAACTTGCACATCACAAAACCAAAGTCAATGCGGATTTTTTCAACAAAACAGTAGAAAAGATAGAGTTCCATTTTGTTTGCATCTGTTCTGTGGCCATCAATTGGCACCAACAGATTTGAAATGATGGTGAAGATGATCAAATTCTGAGGACTGAGATCATCTAATCTTGTCTCAGCAGGAGTATTGAATTTGGTTTGAAAGTAGGTCATGAGTTTAGCATTGTAAAAATGATGGTAGGCAGAAGGAAATTCCTCATACGAAAAGAAATTTATAATTTTTCCTTTGTAACCATCTTCAATCTTTGTTTTCAAAATGGAGTTTACAATGTCAGGTGTTAATGTGATGTTCACAGAATTGACCCTAGAGATGAGTTCTGTGTGTGAGTTACCCTTTCTAAGATTAGCAAAGAATTGATAAAGCATGTCAGGGTAAAAGGTATTAGGAATGGTCAGAAGATGAACCCATTTTTGGAATTCAAACAGTTTAATAACAGGTTCAAGATCAAACTTACGAAATTCATAGGGAAGGATGAGCCTTTGGGTGATGAACCCTTTTTGAGAGACCAACTCAAATCTATCTTTGGGTTCATCATCAATGAATTTTGGAAGAGAAGTGGGTTCTGTTACGGGCTGAGATACTGGATTCTTTCCAGAGCGTTTCCCTTTCGAGGTTTGTGTGGCAGATGCTCCCACATTTTGAGCCTCAGATCTTGTCCTTGGAGACTTCCTAGTGGAGGGTTCAGGTGTTTGCTGATTCTCAACAATGTTTCCTTTATCCTGCTGATCAACAGAGGAATCAGCAGATTGCTTTTTCTTGGATTGGGGAGTGCTCTTCCTTCTTGCAGTTCTCTTTCTTTTACCAGATGTCCTTGTGATAGTTTCATCACCCTGGGTAGCCTGCTCTGGTTCCTCATTTCCACCAACAATGTTTCCTTCAGAGTTCTGCTCTTCCATCTGCTCATCAGATGGTTCAGCAGTTGGAGTAACCAATTTTCTTTGGGCAGTTTGCTTCACTTTACCACCACGGGTCACAATTTTCTTTTTGGGTGCTTGAGTAGATGGTTCCACAATCTCAATGTCCTCATCTCTAAGGCTAAAGGACCGTCCAGCACTGGTAGACCCTCCTCTGATTCTAACCATGATGCAATGTGGATGTGTTTTTGATGCAGAATGTGGTGTATAGACGAAGAATGTAGTATGAGCAAACGCGAATGCACTGTAGTGTCGTAAGGAGAGAGTTATGAGAAACAAGGGTTTCGCATGCAAATTGGGAACTATGGGGTAGTTGGGGGTTAGGAGTAATTTTTATGAGTGGTTAATGGGCAATAGAGGTGTAATGGTGTTGATTGAGTCAATTTCTTGGAACTTGATCTGAGGAGAGAGGAATTTGAATTTTGAATATGAGAGGAAACTGAAAGGTTGCGTCCGAGATCGTGGAGGAAAATGAACTGAGGAAGATGGGTAACTGCCTTATAAAGCTCAATTTTTGAGTGTCGGACGTCCGAACGAAGTGTAGCGTCCGACACAGCCGTCCGAACTGGTGCTTTTGTGAAACGAGATGAAGAACACTGTCGGATGTCCGTTTCAATTCACCGAACGTCCGATAAAGGTTGACTAGAAACGAAACTTAGAACATTTTTTCTGAAACTCCCAGTTTTGTTCTTCAGAACACAAATTGATCCAGTGGAAGAGCTTTTGTGAGGATATCAGCGATTTGATCTTTAGAACAAACAAACTGAACACAGATTTCCCCCTTGGAAACAAGATCGCGAATGAAATGATGCTTAATATCTATGTGCTTAGTCCTAGAGTGTTGAATGAGATTTTTTGTCAGATTAATTGCACTAGTGTTATCACGGTACATAGGTACACATTCATATACTAAACCAAAATCATTCAAAGTGTTTTTCATCCATAGCAATTGAGCACAGCAAGCACCAGTAGCAACATATTCAGCTTCAGTAGTGGACAATGAAATAGCATTTTATTTTTTACTAAACCAAGATACTAAGCAATTTCCAAGAAAGTTGCATATACCAATAGTACTTTTTCTATCTATTTTACAACCACCGAAGTCAGCATCAGAGAATCCACATAAAGGAAGTTCATGACATTTTGGGTACCACAAACCAAAGTTTAAGGTTCCTTTAAGATATCTAAGAATTCTTTTTACCGCATTCAAGTGTGATTCCTTTGGACAGGATTGAAATCGAGCGCATAAGCATACAGCAAACATGATATCAGGCCTACTTGCAGTTAAATAGAGTAAGTTTCCAATCATACCTCTATACTTCTTCTCCTCAACTTTTGTACCTTCTTCATCTTTGTCAAGTTTAGTAGATGTGCACATAGGTGTTCCAACAGGCTTTGAGTCCTCCATTCCGAATCTTTTCAGCAACTCTTTGGTGCATTTTGCTTGGTTTATAAATGTTCCATCTCGGGTTTGAACCACTTGGAGTCCAAGGAAGAAGTTTAATTCTCCCATCATGCTCATTTCAAATTCCTTTTGCATGATGTTGGAAAAATCCTTGCACAAGCTCTCATTGGTAGCACCAAATATGATATCATCCACATATATTTGCACAATCAAAAGATCTCGTGAGCTTTGTTTCGTGAAAAGCGTAGTATCTACAATGCCTCTTTTAAAACTATTTTCAACCAAAAACCCACTCAAACGTTCATACCATGCTCTAGGAGCTTGTTTTAATCCGTATAAAGCTTTTGAGAGTTTAAAAACATGATCTGGATAAGATTCATTTTCCAAACCAGGAGGTTGGTCAACATAGACTTCTTGATCTATAAAGCCATTTAAGAAGGCACTTTTAACATCCATCTGAAATAATTTAAAATTCTTGAAACATGCAAATGCTAGAAACATTCTAATGGACTCCAGCCTAGCTACGGGTGCAAAAGACTCATCAAAGTCTATTCCCTCTTCTTGGGTGTATCCCTTAACCACTAGCCTGGCCTTATTTCTAACAACCTCCCCTTTATCATTCATTTTGTTCCTAAAAACCCACTTTGTACCAATGATAGGATGGTTTTGTGGTCTAGCAACCAGGGTCCAAACTTTGTTTCTTTCAAATTGGATTAACTCTTCTTCCATAACTAAAATCCAGTGCTCATCATTCAATGCATCAACAACATTTTTAGGTTCAAACTGTGATACTAAAGCAAGATTATCTACTAGATTTCTAGAGGAACGAGTTGTGACCTTTTCAGATGGATCACCAATTATAAGCTCCCTGGGATGGTTCTGAACAAATTTCCAGGTTCTTGGAAGATCATTAGGAGTAGTGGTATCTCTGTCATCCGTTTCTCCAGTTGGACTGTCCTGAGTATCAGCATCCTTTAAATCAGTTTCTGGTGAAGCAGTGCCATGATCATTGATTGCTAACTTCTTTAATTCTTCTTGAACACCTGTATCATCATCTTCACCACAACTCATGGAAATGTCACCATTAGATTCATCAAAAGTAATGTGTATTGCCTCCTCTATAACCAGTGTTCTACGATTATAAACTCTGAAACCTCTTTTGTTTTCACAATAACCCAAGAAAATTTCCTCATCAGATTTCTTGTCAAACTTTCCAAGATGTTTCTTGATGTTCAAAATAAAACATTTACAGCCAAAGACTTTAAAGTAACCAACAACAGGCTTTTTGTCAAACATGAGCTCATAGGAAGTTTTGTTCAAAATTGGTCTTAAGAGAACTCTGTTCATGGTATAACAGGTTGTGTTTATGGCTTCAACCCAAAAATACTTTGGTAAATTGCATTCACTAAACATGGTTCTAGCAGGCTCTTGGAGAGTTCTATTTTTTCTTTCCACCACTCCATTTTGTTGGGGGACTCTAGCAATAGAGAATTCATGTGTAATGCCATTGTTATCACAAAAATCTGGAAAGCCACAAAAATGAAATTCAGAACCATTATCACTTCTAATTTTGATAATTTTCAAGCCAATCAAATTATGAACTTTAGCAAACAGTGATACAAAGTTCTTGAAAGCATCATCTTTATGTGCAAGAAACATCACCCATGTATATCTGGAATAATCATCAACAACAACAAAACAGAATCTCTTACCACCAAGGCTTGTAGTTTGTGTAGGACCAAACAGATCAAGGTGTAAAAGTTCTAGTGGCTTTGAAGTGGAAACACACTTCTTGGGTTTAAAAGATACCTTGACTTGTTTTCCAAATTAGCAAGCATCACATATCCGGTCCTTTTCAAATCTGATTTTTGGGAGACCTCTAACAAGATCCTTTTTAGAAATTTCTTCGAGCAAATCCATATTGAAATGACAAAGCCTTCTATGCCACAACCATGGGTCCTCATTTGCAACTTTGAGACATTTGAGATAGGAGGAATCAATTTTTTCAGGAACAACTACATAGATATCATCAACTCTTTTTCCTTTAAAAACAATGTTGAACTTTGAGTCAAATATGAGACATTCAAGCTTCTTGAATAATACCAACTGATTCCTATCACACAGTTGACTAACACTTAATAAATTGTAGCTCAGATTGTCTACAAGAAGAACATTGTGGATAAAGGTTTGATCATTCTTACCAACATCACCAATACCAACAGTTTTGGCTTTCTTATCATCTCCAAACGTTACCTTTCCACTTGCTTTTGGCTTGAGTTTAATGAATTGAGATGCATCACCAGTCATATGTCTTGAACATCCACTATCGATGAACCATTTTGATTCTTTAGCAATGTTATCCATGTTCACCTACACACAAACCCACAAGATAATACTTGGTACCCTTTACATGTTGGGTCCTTGAGCGTTAGCATTATGTCTAACCATCCACATACATCTCATACCATTTTTCATGTTTTTCTTAACATAGCAATTGCTATTCATATGACCAAATTGACAACAGAAATTGCATACTGACATTGGATCAATCAAATGAACTGGTTTAATGAATCTGACTTGCCTTTTTCTATGGATAGCAAACTCATTTGCGTTTTGATTCAGTCTTAATTGATGAGCGTTAAGATGAGGTTTAATATCATTCTTTTGAAGACGGTTCTGTCTCATATGATGTAACAATTGACATAAATCATCCATCCTTTTTCTTAGACTACATTGTTCACTTCTGAGTATGTTACAGAAATTTTTCTTTTTGTTAAGTTCAGCAAACACATCAGTTTCAGTCCTTTTCAGGTTTTCATTTTCATGCGTGAGACACTTGTTTTATCGAAAAAGATTTGCATTATCTTGAATCAGAAAATTAATTTTCTGTTTTAGTTCTTTGTTTCTGATATAAGATTCTTTTAAATTGTTGTGCATCTTTTCTAAGAATGAATTAACATCATCATCAGATTCATTGTCACTATCAGTTTGGGAAGAACAAGCAGTTACCTCATCATCACCAATGGCCATGAAAGCCACTTGAGCAGATTCCTCTTCTTCCTCAACTTCACCTTCTGAGTTGCAATCATTCCAGGTGATCTGAAAATTGTTGAACTTTGGTTTTCGTTCAACCTTGTTCTCCTTCTTTTTCTTCATTGGACACTCATTTGCATAGTGTCCTGGTTGACCACATTCGAAACACTTATCAGTCTGTTTCTTGTTGAACTCCAGTTTCCCTTTGTTTCTGAAGTCATTAGACTGATTTGGGAAGGAATTGCTGGATCCACCTTTCTTGAATCTTCTCTTGTTAAGTATTCTTTTGAAGCCTCGTGTGATGAGTGCAATATCACTGTCATCACCTTCCAAATCATTTCCATCCTGTGAGGTTGTTTCATCTTCGTCTTGTGATGCTTTCAGAGCAATACTCTTTCTTACTTTGGTGTCTTCTTCATCCTGCATCTTAGATTTAAGTTTCAGTTCGTAAGAGGTTAGAGAGTTAATCAGAGATTCAATGGATAAAGTATTCAGATCATTGGCTTCCTCAATGGCGGTCACTTTGCTCTCCCAGTCCTTTGATAGAGCATTCAGAATTTTCCTGTTCTTTTCACCTAGAGAGTATTCCTTCTCAAGCACCTCTAAATCTTTGATCAGATCATTAAATCTGCAATACATTTTGTCAATATTTTCATGAGGCTCCATCTTAAAAGATTCATACTTAGTGACCAGAATGGATTTCTTTTGCTCTCTCACATTCTCGCTTCCC